GTAACTAAACAATTGCAGTGCCGACATTTGTGCAGCAATATCTTAAATCCTTGGAATATCCTGCGTCTTTTTATACCTTGTTTCTGTAAAACAAAGTAAGGTATGCCCTTGCGCCGAAGCGATTTTGTTGATGTTTCTTATAAACTTCTGTAGTACAGGTCGATGACGTCATAATATGACGTCATAATGTGTACTGGCTATCGCATGTCCTGGGTACTAAGAATGTATTATAAAACAAGTCTTAGCATTTTCTGTGCGGAAAGTAGAGTAATTATGGAATTTAATTAGATATTTTGCATAGAAACCTCTGTATATAGCCTTAACTCACATGCGCAATCAAGAAACATTTTTTATGCAAACACCAATTTTATCAGGACAACAAGTGATACAAACAGTAAATGGTTTTAATCACAACATAATCCAGACTAAACAGGAGCCATTGTTACTTACAAACACTGGAAAGACAGGGGCTGTGACAAATGGTCCTACTTGCCAACTACTGTCAGTTTTACCGCAGACATCCACAGATCCAAGTGTATCCAATTCTCAATCGATCAATCAAGCCAACATCTCTCAGCCAAATGGCACCAGCTGTAGTTTTGCTTTCCGAGTGAATCAGAATTCACTCTCTGTGTCATCTCAGGCTTCAGCTGCAACAGTTTCAACCAATTTTGGATCTATCAATGAGGCAAACCATTCTCAGAATAAGGGTACAACCTGCAGTCCTGCTTTTCAAGTTCAGATGAATTCAGTGTCAGTATTATCTCAAACTCCTACTGCATCAACTTTAACCAATTCTGTCAATCAGACAAACATTTCTCAGAATGAGGTCATACCCAGCAGTAATCCTGCTTTCCAAATTTATCAGAATTCACTGTCAGTATTATCTCAAACTTCCACAGCATCAACTTTAATCAATTCTGGATCAGTCAAACAAGCAAATATTTCTCAGTCAGCACAGAGCACAAGTTGTACTCCTGCTTGCCAAGTTCAGGTGAATTCAGTTTTATCCCAGACTTCCACGGTATCAGTACCATATAACTGTGACTCCAACAATGAAAGAGCATCTGACAAGACATTATGTGACAATAAGCCAAATAGTGAAATGCTGCAACCCAGATCTCCATGTGAGAAAACTGCAGACAACATACAGCAGCCAAAGAAATTCAAGCCAAGTATGCCAGGTCAGAAGTGCCGTCCATTCAGAAGTTTTAAACTAGTGTTAGATAATGATACAGAGCCTGTTGTTTCCTCTTCCTTGTGCAAAGCAAGAACTTTAGAAGAGAGTGAAAATGAGGACAGTTCACCTGGTGGAAGCACTCAAGAAAAGGAAAATGAGGCTCAAAGAGCAGATAGTAAAGACTTCAATGAACTATCTAGAGAATCTTCAACTTGTGAAAATGATACCAATGATTCAGAGGATTTGGAATGTGCAGGAGATAACAGCTCAAATGACTGTGATAAAGAAGAGTTGCGAGATGAGGAAAAGATTAGGGTTAAGTTCAAGGAGAAGGATTTAATGCAGAATACACAGAAAGGCAAGAAAAGTAAATGCAATCTGTGTGGAAACTATGTAGTAAAGTTGGATTTACATTTTGAAAGATACCATAGTACTCCGTCCAAGTGTAAATATTGTGGAAAGATGTTTGAGGATATGTGGGAAACAAAAAAGCATATGCAAAAGGATCATTTGGAACAATTGAATAAAGAATTCACTTGTAATATTTGCCACCAAACATTTTCCGAAAAACAAGATCTGAGAAACCATAAGTTTTCAGCCCATGGAAGTAAAAGAAAATTCACTTGTGAGGAGTGTGGAAGAAACTTCAATCATTTATCAACATTGGAAAGTCATCGCAAAGTTCACACTGGGGGTGATAGAAGTTATGTTTGTGAAATATGTGGTAAACGGTTCCCTCCCCGAAACACATTGAGGCATGCAAGAATGCATAGTCAGACAAGGGAATGCAAGTGCCCCTACTGTGATAAGTCGTTCAATGAAAAGGATCAACTTCAGAAACATCTTCGCTTACATACGGGTGAAAAACCATACAAATATGTAGGCATTGTCCAAAGGCCTTTAACCACAATGTATCGCTTAAAGCTCATGTGAAGAAGTACCATCCTGATGTGGGACATAATATTGAGTCAGAGTCTAGAGATGTTATAGTGATAGGTTGATTTTTATGCCCTGAGAAGGGTCTTTTTAGTTTTACGTTTTAGGGTTTTTTTTAGAAAACAAATAATGCATGTCATGTTTCTTGCCTCCATACAGTATTGATATGTTCAGTTAGCTCTTTGAACATGTTGAATAAAGGTTAAAAACATATTACTATGGGATATGTTTCACTGTCTTGTTGGTGTCTTCTGATAAAAGTTATGCAAGTATGTGTGTATCCTGAATATATATGATGTTACAATACAGCGTTTTTTTTTTCCTTATATAACTGGTACCGATAAACGGCACCGTTCCCAATGCCAAAAAAAATTTAATTTTTCCAAATTCTATGGCAAAAATTTCCCAATTCAACTGTGAAGCAAAAGATTACGATGACATCGTATTTCTTGTTAAATGAAACATTGTACAAGTTGACTAATTGTTTCACTTCCGCTTAAATCGAAAGTAGAGAAAGTCGTAATTTGGCGGGAGCAGTGGTTTAGACAGCGTAGTGTCATATATTTTGACAAATTGAAAGCATGACAATGTGAAAACAAGGGACGTTGATATAAAAACAATAAGTACTTGTTGTTTATTCTTTAAAACAAGCAGTTATAGGTAATTAAGTAGTAATAAACGCAAAATAAGTCGCATTTGCATCAATAAGAGAAAATTCTCCTTTGTTTAACTTCGATGTTATTTTTAGCTCTACTGGTCAGAGACCAGAAGAGCTTATGCGATAGTTATGCGTCCGGCGTCCGTCCGTCTGTCTGTCTGTCTGTCTGTCCGTCTGTCTGTAAACAATTTTTCAAAATGCTACTCCTCCTACAATTTTGGTCTGATTTCAGTATAACTTGGCACACAAGTAGAATACAGTAAAGATACATAATTCTGTGTATCGGTTTTTGATTTCGATGAACGGTGTTGCCGTGGTTACTAAAAATAGAAAATTCTGTGAAATTCTTTCAAAATGCTACTCCTCCTACACTTTTGGTCTGATTTCAGTATAACTTGGCACACAAGTAGAATACAGTAAGATACATAATTCTGTTTATCGGTTTTTGATTTCGATGAACGGTGTTGCCGTGGTTACTAAAAATAGAAATTTCTGTGAAATTCTTTCAAAATGCTACTCCTCCTACAGTTTTGGTCTGATTTCAGTATAACTTGGCACACAAGTAGAATACAGTAAGATACATAATTCTGTGTACCGGTTTTTGATTTCGATGAACGGTGTTGCCGTGGTTACTAAAAATAGAAATTTCTGTGAAATTCTTTCAAAATGCTACTCCTCCTACAGTTTTGGTCTTGATTTCAGTATAACTTGGCACACAAGTAGAATACAGTAAGATACATAATTCTGTGTATCGGTTTTTGATTTCGATGAACGGTGTTGCCGTGGTTACTAAAAATAGAAATTTCTGTGAAATTCTTTCAAAATGCTACTCCTCCTACAGTTTTGGTCTTGATTTCAGTATAACTTGGCACACAAGTAGAATACAGTAAGATACATAATTCTGTGTATCGGTTTTTGATTTCGATGAACGGTGTTGCCGTGGTTACTAAAAATAGAAATTTCTGTGAAATTCTTTCAAAATGCTACTCCTCCTACAGTTTTGGTCTTGATTTCAGTATAACTTGGCACACAAGTAGAATACAGTAAGATACATAATTCTGTGTATCGGTTTTTGATTTCGATGAACGGTGTTGCCGTGGTTACTAAAAATAGAAATTTCTGTGAAATTCTTTCAAAATGCTACTCCTCCTACAGTTTTGGTCTTGATTTCAGTATAACTTGGCACACAAGTAGAATACAGTAAGATACATAATTCTTTATATCGGTTTTTGATTTCGATGAACGGTGTTGCCGTGGTTACTAAAAATTTAATAGAAATTTCTGTGAAATTCTTTCAAAATGCTACTCCTCCTATAGTTTTGGTCTGATTTCAGTATAACTTGGCACACAAGTAGACTACACTAAGAACATAAAGAGACTTTATCAACAATCTTTATTCTATTTATTGCTGTTGTAAAGTTTCAAATCCCAGCTGCTTAAGTACTTTTCTCTTCCTTTGCTATAAGTTCAAACCAGTAGAGCTTCAGTCTCGACAGAGACTTCTGGTTCCCAATTGAACCGGTACCGGACCCTTTCCCAATGGCTGGAAAAAAATCGCTGCAATATGTGTAAGGCATATAGACATTGTGTTTACAAGTATACAGAAAAGGATAACATGTATGGCTGGACAAAGAATCTAACCTGGAGCCTCATGCAGTGACCTTATAATGCTTTAGTAACTAAGTTATCCTTGCCAGGGATATCGATCATTAAATGGCAACAAACAATTTAATCCTTCCACCCCCTCCCTAAATTGTCTTTAACCTAGAATCGCAACACATGTTCTTATTATTTCCATAGGCGCTTGGTTACAGGATGGTTTATTTTGTGTATTATGTGTTTTTCTAGGTGTGCCTGAATACCCTCATTAAAATAGAAATAAACAAGATGTGTTTGTGAAACACTATGCGCCCGGAGGCAACAAAGTTCGGGAAAAGCTATTTCAACATAAAGGTCACAAGTTCATTGACCTTAGTGTCATTTGAAAGAGCTTGATTAGTGGAGTATGTATACCAAATATGAAATCTCTATCTCTTATGGTTCAAAAGTTATAATGAGGGTTCAAAAAACTATTTTAGCATATAGGCCACAGTCAAGGTCACAATGTCATTGACCTTGGTGTCGTTTGAAAGAACCTGATTATTGGAGTATGCATACTACATATGAAGTCTCTATCTTTCATGGTTCAAAAGTTATGGCGAAGGTTAAAGTTTGCAGAAAAAAAGCTATTTTTAGCATATAGGTCTTAGTCAAGGTCACAAGGTCATTGTCCTTGGTGTCATTTGAAAGAGCTTAATTAGTGGAGTATGCATACCAAATATGAAGTCTCAATCTTTCATGGTTCAAAAGTTATGGTGAAGGTTAAAGTTCAAGACAAACAAACAAACAGATAGACAGACAGGACAAAAACAATTTACGCCCTGGATCTATCGATTCGGGCGCATAAAAATCGCCAAAATTAGTACGTTAAAAAAAAACTTTTAAAAAATGTCATATTTACTGTATATAAAAAAAAGTACAGGGACACCTAGAAAAACACATAATACAAAAATACACCATCCTGTAACCAAGCGCTTATGATTATTTCGTCTCGGTGAGGTAGTGAATCCTTTTTTGAAAATGTGTGTGTGGGGGAGGGGGTGTAAAACTTCTAGTATCCATTTTTTTATGCCCTCTTCGAAGAAGGGAGGGCATATTGTTAACTGCTGTCAGTCGGTCTGCCAGTCCACCATTAGTTTCCGTTCATTTTCTTCACAGAGGTTGCACATATTAAAATAAAATTTAGGTATTCAGATTCATCATAATATCTGGTATGATCGTGCCATTTTTGATAGAGTTAAGAACCTTTGACTTCCAGTTGGGGA